ATTAAGAGATATCCAATCAAAATGTTGGTAAGAATTGATCTAAATGGGTTCATGTACCTTGAAATTTACATTCAGGTAAATATGTAAGGCTTTCAAAAACAGGTGAGATCAAATTTGATACAGTAATAGCTTTCTGGACCATCAAAGAAGCGAGTAAATAACAGATCATCAATTACATTATTAAGTGTTTACGACCTTGTCAAAGCTTTATAGTAAGGCCTGTTACAGTGTCTGGCCAAGTGAAAATCTGTCGGAGTGTTTAAGGATATTGTGTAAAGACATATACTACATGTAAAACTGTGACACAGAGAAGGTTTAATTTCAGTGTATTCTGAAAACTCAAAAGACATTGCATGTTTCTTTCCACTAAAGATATTTTATTAAGTTGTCAGCTTATGCCATATAGATTTAAAAGCAGGTTTATATAGAAGTGGGTAAATGTTTCTCTTGTGAGGGCAGGAATGCAAACTCTTGAGGCTGGTTCTTAATTCCTATACGGAGTCCTTTTAAATGCCTTAAAATTTCATTGACAAGACAGAAGTCTTAGAAAGTGCATGCATATGTGAATAGCTTGATTGTTGTGCATTAGAAGAGAGGTGATTTAATCCAAGGAGAACAGGGTATGTTTGTCTGTGAAAATGTTTGAGGATTGGACAATTTTGAAGTTGTTTTGGATGTTGTGTTTCCAGGATTTCATTCATGTCTTCATGATTGTTGAATCAACATTGATTTTGTATTTCCATAGTGCAAATAGCAAGGAATTTTGGATGTTTACATGAGAAGCATTTCGTTAAATGTTTGGATTACACATTAAATTTTTCCACTACAAGAAACTTGAATAACTTATCTGTTTGAGGCAAGTATACGTGTTTCTTATGGGCACTTCGAATTAGGAATTTAATGGTTGAATGCTTCATTTTAATCAAGTTTCTTTTTATTAAAATGAATGAAAGTTTAAGGTTTTTTTTTTCGTAAGTAAAACAAAATTCATTTTGCAGATTTTACCCATGGGGACTATTTTACAAATAATATGTAGCTATGAAATGTGAATTGGCGTTAGTGTGTGTAGGTGTTTGGTGAGAGAAAAAAAGTGAATTCAGAAATCATTTTGTGGTTTTAAAGCATTCATACATCTTTGGAGAATAAAGTCCTTGGAAAACCATATTGTATTACACTGATGTAGGTATTATCTCATGATTTCTTGCTTATTGTGTAATCTGATGTTGCATGCCTGTGTATAGAAAGTTAATTTTAATTTTAGAGACCTCAATTCCATAAATTTTGTGCTTTTACATCTTAAATGTTCTAATGAAGAAAAGATCAAACCTTTAAGACTGACAATATCAGATTTATATTCTTTTAATTAGTGAACATGGTGAAGTAGAGGCACTTTTATATTAAATCATCATTTGAAAAATGAATTTTCAAAACTAGCTGCTTGTCATGGGTCATATATGATTTCTATTGCATTTCTGCATTCTCCAATACAAGTCCTAGTTACACTGCCCAGATGTACTGGTCAGATAGGGAAGCAAGACTTTATCAGGAGCACATCTTCTGCGCTTGTGTTTAGGTGACTTCTGTGTGTAATGTTAGCTGCAGGGATTTCTGCTACCTTGTTTTCCAAAGAATGCTTGCAAGCTTGATCAGTTGTCAGAACTAACCCTTCTTATTGAAAGCTATTTGTCTGCGAGGGTGCTATGAATAGCAACACTGATATATCTGCTTGATAAAAATGTTTTGTGAAAGATATTGATCCCATATTGTAAAAAGAAAAAGATGATTTGATGAGTTTCTGGCTTACTGCCACTTGCATATCATTTTCCTCTATACATCACCTTCATCAGACTCGGATAGGTAGATAAGTTTCTCTAATTACATGAGGAAACGTGCATGGTACGATAATTGTACTTGTGAATCTGCATGGAAGTTTACTGAGATATCCGTTTCCTTTCATAATCATCCACACTTCTTCCATTTTTGGGACAATCAAATTATCTTGCTTTTTAACTTATTCATGCACTATGAGGGTCATATAATGATAATTATGTCATCTGTCTGTGAACCTTTTTGAACTTGGCTATATCTTACAACCTGCGAGGTTTAGGTTCATGTAAGTTCAATGAATGTACCCGATTTCATAGAAGGAAGGAATGGCCAAGGTCAGAATTAAATTGATCAAAACCTCAATTTTAAATTCTTTGCAACTGTAATGAGACTGAGTATGTCTGTATAGAATTCAATAGTTGGAGTATTCAGACCATTGACAGTGGGTCACAGGTTCCCATCTGGCCAGTCCACTTATAACAGATCTATATGCAAACTTGAAGCTCTGCGAGCACCCTATAGTGATCAGTCTGTCCTTCCATCCATCTGTCCATCCGAGATCTCTTGTCCGGAGCATATTTTGTCTCTCCTTGGCCCAATCTGGCTCATACTTCACCCACAGAGTGTCTTTGGGTAAAGTGTGTGAAGTGACCTTGAACCATGTTTCTAGGTCTAAGGTTAGGTGTCCCTTTTTTACATTCCTCTTTTCAAAAACACTTATTTCGATAACAAGCTAATAATCACATTAGATGTCAAAAGAGCAATAGATTAACAAAATACTCTTTGATTATTTTGATGAAAAGCAAAATCTGCATTGATTTGAAAATCAGGGAGTAAATACACTTTGAGGAAAAAAATTATCTGGAGCTCTGGTTAAGGTCATAGAATTATATGAAAAATCCTTGTCCGGAGCATATCTTCTCTCCTTTTGGTCCAGTGTGGTTCATACTTCACTCACAGAGTACCACTGGTCAATGGATGTGCATTGAACTTGAACAAAATTTCTAGGTCAAGGGTCAAGGTCAAAAATAGCCTTTCTGTTTAAATTCTTGTCCGGAGCATATTTTCTCTCTCCTTGGCCCAATCTGGCTCATACTTCACCCACAGAGTGCCTTTGGGTAAAGGGTCTGCAGTGACCTTGAACCATGTTTCTAGGTCTAAGGTTAAGGTCATAGCAGAATTATATGAAAAATCCTTGTCCAGAGCATATCTTCTCTCCCCTTGGTCCAATGTGGCTCAAACTTCACTCACAGAGTGCCACTGGTCATTGGATGTGCAGTGACCTTAAATGAAGTTTCTAGGTCAAGGGTCAAGGTCAAAAATAGACTCTCTGTTAAAATCTTTGTTCAGTACATAATTTCTTTCCCTTAAGTCCAGTCAGCCTCAAACTTTACCAATTGACTTAGGGTACTGAACATTTGTGATTTTCCTTCCATATTTTGATAGAGGATACAATTTTCATAGAGGATATGCAACATTCGTGATTTTTGTGCCGTTTTTTGATAGAGGGTATGGAGCACTCATGATTTTCGTGCCATTTTTTATTATAACAAGGATGGCAAAGAAGCCCTTTAGCCTCAAACAACACATCCCGTAATAGTACACAAATGTTCCTCTTCAAAATAAACCCTTTTCAGCTACCTTACATTTTCATGTTCGTTGCTGAAAGCGAGGCCTTTTGAGATGGCCACCATCTCAATGATATCTAGTTTTGTGTCTGTTTCAAGTTAAGTTTATCCTCTGAAAACCATATAGATGGTAATTCTGTACAAAAACATATGCAGTGCTCCTGCATTTGAATTAAAGGTTCAACCCTCAAGGTCACTGTAGCTACCAGTGCACTGTATAGTCAGTCCCTGATTTAAAGCCTCTCTTGTGCCTTAGTGGTGCATTGACATTAATTATAATCTTGTTATCTCGAGCAGGTATTGAAATTTTTGTGTACCTGTGTGGGTAGATGGATGAATCATTTGAAGACACCTGTATTTTGCATAAACGTATAATTCTGAATGTCTAAGGTTGGGTCTACCCTGTTGAGCTGCTTTTGATAATCCTGAAAAATAAATCATCTCTGGTGAAAATGAGGTAGCGTTCATGAAGTCTGCATGGATTAAATGAGGGAATTAATTGGTTGTGATGTACAATTATAATTCTGGCAGATTATTTCACCAGGTATCAATGAATATGAATATATTATTCAGTGAATGGATAAACAGATAGCATTAGTATATATACCCAATTAAGTTAGCTAATTAGAACCTTAAATCTTGAAGCTTACAATATGTCATTGTATGTGGCTCAAATAACAAATTTTTTTTAGACTGCTTGCTAATTCATCATAAATGTTACCACAGGTATAGATTAACCAGTAAACCAGAGGTAGTTTGGATAAATTTACAAGCTGACGTGAGGTAGTACCGAATTTAACTGAGTTTTACCGTGTTTGAGTGTATCAAGTGAACCTGTACCGATTTGACCCAGAAGTATTGTGTGCTGGGTGGCTTTTGACAATTTTTGGTTGTGTTAACCATCTGTCAGATGTCACAAATGTCAGATGTAGTATTTTCATGTAAAGGAATTATCCGATAAAAACTGGAAATCCATAGCTGATTCAATCTGTTTGTATATGTTTATCTACTCCCTTCATACCTCAGTGAACATTGGTCAACGCTATCCTGTTCAGCTAGTGTAGATACCTATATAGCTGATTTTGATCTCGTATCGTGACCCAAAACATTTAAACATGGGACTTCTGAACGTTTTTTTTTTTTACAGCAAAGAAATACTTATGTCAACACCAGGGAGATTAAAAAAGCACTCCCTTAGTTCCAGCACTCCCCTTTATTTTGATATGTCGGACCTTATTTACCCTTTTTTGTTTGTATGTTTTTTGCTGACTGTCATAGTCGAGCAACTGACCTCGGACTGACAAAATGGCTGTCACATAACATCTGTCTCCCTTTTTTGAAACCTTCGTCATTGGCATGAGTTGTAAGTAGCAGGAAAAAAAATCCCCTAGATTATGAAGGACAATTTTTAATTAGTTTATAATCATGATATCTGAAAGGTTGTCAAAATTAAGAGTTTCTTATATGGAATCATTTAATCTTGAATTTTTTTTGGTATTTATTGCTGATGTATAACGTGAATGATAAATTTTGATTTATTTGTAGGTCGTAGGAGGTACATTAACCGGCCAGGAAGTGCAGACCTGCCGTATTCCTCCTATGCGCTGTCCAATCATGATTACTCGGGTGAGTTCCTCAGCAACTTTTTGTGTTTCCTTCACTGAACCAATAGTCAGATAAATTTGTTAATTTTGTCTTCTTCATATCATTATTTAGAGTAACTTGTCTGCCCTAGTGTTTTCTTCTTATCATTACTCAGTGATTTGACTATCTGCGAGTTTTCTCCATATCATTATTTATTATCTATGTGAGTATATGTCTTCTTCCTTTCATTATCTCGGATAACCTTGTCTTTTGATGTGTCTGTTTGACATCAGTGGTGAGTTAGGCTTGCCTTGGATTTCTTTGTCTTTTTAGGGAGGGTGGAAGGGGGAAGGATGAGTTGGGGGGGGGGGGGGCTGGTTCTGTCATTCTTGACAAAAAGATAGGGTTCCTGTGCCATTTTTTTAAAAAATCTGATCAGAAGTCTAAACATTTTTCTATGATTAAAGGCCCATTGTCTATGTCAAACCTTGCAGCAGGATCTCTTTGTCTTCTCAAGGGGAAGGTGGGGTGGGAGGTTTTGTTCTGTCATTCCTGACATAGAGACAGAGTTCTGCATGCTATTTCTTTTGAAATGTGATTAAAAGACATAGGTTTCTGTGTGATTAAAACAGACTGTCTTTGTTACATCTTAAAGTTCTATACTTTTGCAGTTTCAAAGACAAAGTACTCTGTAATCAGTCAGTTTGTGAGTGGGATTATAAAACCCTTGATATCCCACCCTCTTTTTGTTATGCTATATTAAGATCTGTTAAGTCTCCCTGTGTTGTGGCATTTATACTTTTTCACTGTTCAGTCTTTATTTCATAATTAGTCTATTACATTTGCTGTTAATGTGTGAGACAGTGACATCAGGCTGATTTTCTGCTCTTTGAAAGCTTTTTTTGGTAGCAGAACCATTTGTTTTTGGTAGTGGAACCATGTAAAACTAATAAAATTTGCTCCTGCATGGTTAACTGATTTATATCCCCAACATATTGCTAAGATGCAAATGCGGTCAGTCCTAAAAACAAATGTTTCTCTTGCAGGTCCTTCTTACAATGGCTATGCAAGCAGCTTAGATCCCCACACTTATGAAATTATGTCCAAATATACTCGAGGATATGACTACCCACAATCCTCAGCAGTTCGTTCATACAGCACTGGTTCAAGTTCAGGCTCTCAAGCATTAGGTTCATCATATGGACATACAAGTGGTTACCAGTCCAACCAAAGACCACAAAGACATGCTTCTTATGGCAGTTCTTATGACACTGGAACTAAATATAGTGGTTCCTCTGACACTGGAACAAGATTTGGTGGTTCCACTGAGCTAGGTACCAGATACGGTGGTGGCTCCACTGATTATGGAACAAAATATAGCGGTTCCAGTGATATAGGATCTAAATATGGTGGTTCTAGTGACTTTGGAACTAAATTTGGTGGTTCTAGTGACTTGGGAGCTAAATATGGTGGTTCCAGTGATTTAGGATCTAGATATGGTGGTTCAAGTGACTTAGGAGCTAATTATGGTGGCTCCAGTGACTTGGGTGCTAAATATGGTGGTTCTAGTGACTTAGGGTCAAAGTATGGCAGTTCTAAAGACACACAACCTAAATATGGAGGGTATGTAGAGTTAGGAACAAAGTATGGTGGAGGTGGTGAGTTCGGAACAAGCTATGGTGGTGCTTCCAGAGACAGATCAAACTATGGAAATACATCTAGTTACGAAAGCAGTTATCAAGGAAGTGAACCCAAGTCTAAATACTCTACAAGGTAAATACATTTATTTTTATGATGGATTATTTATCGGCCTATCATCATAATTATCAGTAGGGATATCTGTTATTTTCTAGGTTTTCTTTATGATTGAGTAAAAAAAAAAAACAGTCTCCCGCCTTCCTACCCAAAGTTTTAATCTTATGTTCTGAATGTATAACATATTAGAATAACACCTAAGAGATAACATTTTGTTATAACAGGTAATAGAAAAGCAAAATCTGGGAAGGGGGATGGGGGTCCTGTCCACAAATATCTCTATCTTCCTTCTGTTGTTCTGTATTAGCCCTGAATTTTTTTAAAACATTTTTTAGTTTCTTTCAAATGTTTGAATAAATTTTGACCATATTTGGCATTTGTATAGCATTGATGGGTATTGGGGAACACAGATTTTAAATTTCATAATTCCTCTCATTATTGGTCTGAAGGATGGAGGCAATACCATCAAAATTAATGAAATCTCAAAATCTTCTCTCTTACTTCTAGACATCACATAGGCATACTGTTTGAATGATATTGTAATAAGTAATAACCTTATTCCATAGTCTTGGAAATTCATTACCTTTAGATCCAGTGTTTAGACCCCATTGTCTAGGTAAATTGGATATATATTTAAAGTTTGTTCAATGTTTGAAAATCTTCTTTACTTTAAGATGTTTAGAAATGCTCCTTCTAAACAAACTATAGAATTCTGAATTCCTGTACCGGGTTTAGACCCTATGATGGATTAAGATGATCAAATATTAAAAAGTATTGTATCTTAGCAATCCTTTTCTTGACATCGATCTTTCAGATAAACTGTTTACACTATTATAATAATTTAGACATCTATCATTTTTCTGAATGACTTCTGTGTCCAGGGTTTGGTCATGAGAGAGTCTCAGCTCAGTGTTTATACTGAAATGTGTAACATCATTGAAAATCTGTAGTAGACAAACTGTTTGGATGATTATAAAAAACTACGTACTGAACAAAGTTGTGAAGTATATATGCCCCCTCATTAATGTATTTAAGTCCCAACCAACATGTTAAAACAAAATTTTAAGATTTGATATCCATGTAATTCTAAGGATTTGACAAAATTGTGCTATTGTGCATACATTATAATAGTACTTAATATGATTATACGAACCTCTTCAGAATGAAGTAAAGATCTTTTTTTTTGCATAAATCATAAGTCTTCTTTGTCAATTCTGAAACAAACTTTTACTGGGTGATTACTGTATATAAGGATATTTTTGCCCCTGTTTTATTTTGCCCCTGTCACCCCTTTTGCAAGTGGATGATTTTAAATCTGCTGAACACAAGGAAAGCTGCATAATATCTCTAGATACACAACTGTGTTTGGGTGATTTCAAAACGAGGTAAAATTTTCAAATATAAAAGGTAATATGGGACTATAAAAAGGGCGAATGTAATATGGGAAAAAAAAAATAGCCCATTATACAATATCAATTATGAAATTAAAAGCTGTTAGATGGTCATACTTAATATTTAGGTTTCTTGTAATCTGAAGGTGTGGCAAATATATAATACAAGGTTACTGGAAGCAAATATGAAATATTTTTTTGTGGTTATATCTTAGTGAATAGTAAAGTTTGAAGCCCATTGGTTTGATAGTGATCTTGACTGAGGCCAATTTTAACTAAGTCAAAATCATAAGTAAAAAGAAAAGAATTTTTATATGTGCTACAACATTGTTTTTATTTCTTGGAAAATTCATTGAAATACTCACTATATGCATGACAGGTGACTGTCAATGTCCATGAGCCTCGTAGTTGTTACTCATTGTTTGTTTCCTCAAACAATTCACTGTTTTTTTTTCACTCTTTACAACCCCCCAAAAATATTCCACATATCTAGAAATGATATATTGTATCATAAAATAATATGCTTGGAGTTATAACCAGTAATTGGCAGATACCTCTTCTGTTGAAAGGTGATACATGTAGTACATGCATATCAGAGTTGGAGAAGGGAAGGGGTGAGAGGTGGGGGTATTGCACACCTATATATACAAAGCTTACTGGTAGTATCTCGGAGAGCTTTCTTGACTTATGGCTTGCAAGGAAAAACTTTTTTTTACCAAAGTCAGTGTCAGATGTTTTTGAAATCTGTTTTTCAGAAGCAGATATAAATTATGCTCTTTGTTTTTTTGTTGTTTTTTTTTCACATAAAAATTGTTACTTGATGTTTCTTAAGATAAGGTCAGCAACTGTGTTCCATTACTAGTGTGAAATTCTATATTGTAACAAAAGAGAGGAAATGAATTTCTTGGATACACAAGAAAAAGAAATACATTTAAAGATGTGCAAGAAATTTAACAAAGAAAATTAATTTGATATGTGTCAAAAGTTTTCCATTGAGATGGAAATGTCACTTAAAAACCTTCAAATCAGTAATATTAACTCTTAAAACCTATTGAATAGATGTAGATACATGAGTTTTGATGAGGAATGACATGCCAGTTTAGAATTTGATAGTTCATTGTCCCTGGGTATTCCAAAGACAAGATTTCTTGGTGCAGTCAAATATCTGTCACAATAAGGCCTAGTAATGAGGAAGGAGAGATTTCTTTCTCATAAGCTGAATTATATATCTTCTACTATCCTGGAGAAACATAAAAGCTTTGTTTGTAGAAAATAGTTGGGAGGATAAATGAAGATTGGTCTAAACTCAAGTAACCCCCCGAAGACAAAATTCAAACAATGCACAGCATATTATTTTTCACAATTTATCAAGTTGGTGATCTTAGTTGTTTAGAAAGGTATAAAAGGCAATACTATCGTGTCTGTTAAATAACATTTTAAAATGAAATACCTGTGTCATCTTTAGGTGTAATTGCTGCTGTATTGCTGTTAAATGATAAATGCTGTTTTAATTAAGACATTTTTGTTGAATTAAGGAGCCAAAAGTTCCTACATGTAGTCAAGCGCTTTGAAAAATAATGTCAAATGAAAATGTCTAGACTTTTGCTACTATAATTACAAAGGTGTTTACGGAGTAATTATTGTAATTACATTTCATGCATTGCATACAATTGCATTTTATGCAGAAAGAATTTTAAAATGTTATAATGGTCTTGTTGAAATGTTTATGGCACATCTACCTTTAGGGAGAAAACTTGCACTGCTAAATATGGAGAAAACATAATATAAATAGTGAAGTGTTTAATAAAAAAAATAACAAGTGTTCCCTTGAGGTGTATCATGAACCACAGGTGTCATAATTGAATTGCATGTGGTGCATGCAAACAAAAAGCTCTGCACCTGTCAAGGAATGGCGCTATTTGTTTTACCTGCACTAATGGGACATTTTTATAGTCTGTCATTGTTGCATAGTTATTTCTAATTATCCTGGTCTATTTTTACGTAGAATTTAGTTATTTATTCCTATAAATTTTTATTTATATTCAATTTTTAGCCAGCACTGATTTAAAGGTAGAAAAATAGGGACACATTGGTTTGGTAAAGTACTTAAGTTTGTAAGTTTATGTTGTGATCCAACAGAAGGCGGGCGAAAATGATAGACTGAGGAGAAATTGATACACTGTTTAAAGGTCCGAGTAACCAGAGGGGGTGGTTAAATTATGGACTTCTGTATAGGAATCAGGGTGCACTGCCGAGTGCCTGAACACTTGTCAATCTGTCCAATTTTCAATATCTACAACTAGCTAGTATTGCTAGTTCATAAGTTTGTCTAGATGAAGTAGTAAAAAATTAAAAAAAGATATAACTGATTTATAAAAATCCTAAGAAGGGTCTGGTAAATTTACTTTAAATTGAGTACATGACAGTTGAACCCCTTAAATGGCCTCTGTATTGAAGGTGCCAGGTGAATTGGTTTATGATAAACTTTTCAACACTAGAGAAGATAAGATTGGATTGTTTAATAACTTTATACAGAGGGCCTGATTATCAAAGAAAATATTTGTGAACTAAGAGAAACAGATATGAACTATTAAAATGATTCCCTCCCTCTATATCCCCCAGGGATATTCTCAATACACTCTATACATTTTTATTCCTAAAATATAATGACTCAGAAGTTTCTTTTTTTCAATAAAAAGTTAGTCAGGATTAGTAAGGAAATATATTTGAAATGATTAAAAGAATATAAATTAAGTTAGTTGATAATCAATATTTATGAGATGTAATATTGGTGTGCATTGCTTTGTAGGTATGGAGAAAATGAGGAAACAAAACAAAGTGAAAAGCAAACATCAAGAAAAGTGAGATCACCATATGAACGATACAAGCCACTAGCAGAGGACACTCCAACACAAAGCAAGGATGTTGACATCCAGGAAATCAAATCTAGGAGTCTGAGGTATCGCAGCAGAGACGAAAAAAAGGAACCACCTTCGGAGAAAAGTCAGATCAAAGGAAGCTACGAAATGTACAGACCAGAATCGAGAAAACCTAGAGAAACCACCGAGAGCTTTGACCTTGAAAAACCAGTGTTTTCTTCTTTGGATGATTCAGTGGATTCATTAAAAAGTGCTTCTTTCAGTGAAAGATGGAAAAGAGCAAGTTCTGGGGATTCTCAAGGAAGGCTGGGAAGTGTTGAAGACAGTCTTGAGAAACCTGATTTCGGATCCGTTGGAAAGGATAATTTCGGAAGTAAGGATACCACTGGATCATCTAACTTGTCGCCATGGAAACAAAGAAGATTGGAAAGAGAACAAAAGGAGAAAAGAGAAGCTGAAAAAGTGAAGGAAGAACCACAGAGACAGAAATTACAAACTCATGAAAACGTTTCGTCATCTGAACAGATCCCCACACAAACTAAAGATCAAACAACTGGTACAGCCCATGAACAGGAAGTTAGAAGAAGAAACCTTACTGAAAAAATAGAAAGACCTAAGTCAGTGGATGCAGATGCCATTAAACATCTTCTTTTAACAAGTGAAAGTCCTCTTTTAAGATCGCGGTACAGAGAAGCAGTGAGAAAAAGGGAACATTTGAAAGAATCTGTGGATAGTACTTCTGATATATCACAAGAGTCAGGAAGTAGTCATCGAGAATGGAGTTCAGCCAGAGCTCTACATGAGTCTCTAAGAGAAAAGGAAAAACAGGACACAAAGGAAGCTGGAACTGAAGACAAAGTTACAGAAAGTGTCAAGAAAAATTTAGCAAGGATTGAGGACTTAAAAAGCTCTGTGCAACAAGGTGTTGAAATGTCAAAACCAGAGCAAGTATGTAGTGAACGTTTGAAACAGGATAACATTGAACAAAATCGTCAGGATTCTAGGAGGAGAATTCTTGTGTCTTCTCGCTCTCATGTTGATAACTTGCATGATTCAGTGAAGCAGAAGGACGCTGAACTTTCACAGAGTACAATGAATGTGCCAAAATATACTGTCTCAAAACCAGTCACTGACACTGACAGCAGAGCAACTGAGGGTATTTATTCAAGGACAAATTTACCATCTGCAGACTCTAAAATGGACAGCAAAGCTAAAAGAGAAAGCACAAAATCAGGTAGTGTTGAAACTGATGATAATTTGTCAAAGTTTTACAGCAAAGATCATCAGGAAAAAGTTCAGACAAATGTACAGTTGTATAAGGATAGTCGTCCAGATGGTGAAAAGAAACCTGAGGTTGATAAGACACCATCTAAGCGGGCAGTTCGTCTTGGAAGAACAAGACATCATGGACAAGAAGGACCCTCACTTGTTAAACATATGAGTGATCTTTTGTTTGAGGACCCCAAGAGCATCAGATCAGAAAGGAAACATACTGGTGAATCAAAAGAAGAGGATACAAAAACTTCTTGTAAACCAATTTTGGAGGACAAAGTTGCTTCATCAGTGCTCAAAACAAGGGTTTCTTCTGATGCTGAAAGTACACCTCATGAACAGTTAACAAGTGCAAAGTCAATTCAAAGTGAAAGGAAAGAAATTTCAAGATTAAAAGACAATGATACTAAACAAATTAAAAAGGTTGACATATCACCAAACACAATGTCAGATATTACTCTAAAAGACACTGATAAAGTGGAAAAGCCAAAATTCCAGCGTATTTATGGTAGAGCAAAAACTACAGATGTTAGTAGCCTTTTAGTCAAGAAAGCTGCAACAACTGATGATAAGAAAGAAGACAAACTGAGTAAAACAACAGACTCAGTTGATTCTAAATCTATTGTGCCAAAGTCATCTGCAGGAAGATCAAAAACACCTTTGGGAAAAATAGATGAAAAACCAAAAGAAGTAGAGACAAAGAAACCAGAGAGTGTCAAAGAAAGCGAGGCAGGTTTAGGATTTTCTTCTGCATTTTCTGTTGACATGAACCTGTCTCGTGCTGAAAGGATAGCCAGATATAAAGAGGAGCGAAAGAAACAGCTTTCACATCTTGCCAGCATGTTTAGTGAACCTGGTGAGGGTAGCAGTGGAAAAGACATTGTGCCTTCCCTATTTACGTCAGCAAGGGAAAGTAGCGAAGGATCATTAGGGCGATCCAAAAGCATGAGGGAAGGGTCTCCACAGAAATATTCATCTCCAGTGGCTCGGTCAAAGAGTTTGAGGGAAGATTTGTCACCAAAGAAATCCACAACAGAGAGTGCAAGTAAACCTGAGGAGGAAACTCCTGCTGAAGAAATGAAATCATTTGATGAATCTGGTAAAGAAATTTCTCTTACAAAGAAGATAGCTCAGAACAGAAAGTTGTTTGAGAACAAGACCAGTGAAGAAGATGACTCTAAGAAATGGCAGAGGAGATCACTTACAGATTCATCTCTTGAGGGAGGTAGCAGAAGAAGCTCATCAAGTTCAGACAGAAAGAGCCTTGGTGATGAATCATCTTTAGAGAAAATTAAAAACAGGTATTTGTTTGGAACTGACTTTTCTGAGGCCAAAACTAAGAGACAATCTGTAACTGAAGAGGACAGATCTCCAGGTCTAGACACATCTACCTCATCAGAGGAAGTGGTAACCACATCTGTCTTGTCCACTTCCATGTCATCTGAAGAACCTAGTGTCTCAGAGGAAATTTCTTTTGACATGAATAAGGCCAAACAAGCCTTTTCCAAACCTGAGCCAAAGGAAAAATTCTTGTTTGGAACATCCTTTGCTTCTTCTAAGGAGTCAAAACCAGAATCTAAAGTTGTTGACACTAGAAAACCCAAATCTGTAGAAACTGAGAAAAAGGAGATAGAATCAGAAGAATTTGATGCCACAAAAGCTCTGAAAAAGAGGAGACAACTTCCCTCAGTTCCCTCTGCCCTTGGGGCAGGATCTCCCATAGATAGCATCTCCAGCAAACTAGAGAGTGACAATGATCTGAGTCAGCAGAAAGCTGACACGGTGTCTAAAGACTCACTAAAGATTACTTCTACTCCAGAGCTTCAGATTGCTCATTCTAAAGTGTTTGGTGGAAAGCCTCTCACTTCAAGAGCAACTTCAAAGACTGAAGAGGACAAAGACAGATCTGTTCTTAATAAAAATGAAGGCAGCAGAGCTGCTTTGTCTCATATTCGTTCAAAAGATTATTTATCTAAGTCAGATAACTTATCAAAGTCTGATATAACTTCTAGTCAATTGGAGAGAAAAGCACCTGCTACAAAAACTGTCTCACAGCCTGTATCCAAGAAAGTAGATAAAACCTCTATGTCTCAAAGTGTTGAAATTAAAACAGATTTATCCAAAGATAAATCACAAGAGAAAGGTGCAATGCAATATGTAAATACCTCACAAAGTTTGGGTAAAAAGTATCCAAGCAGCACAGGAAATGAAAGTGCTAAAGACACTGAGTCACCAGATATGGATGCTGCAAAGAAAGGTTCTCGCTTCACAAAGTTGAGAAGATGGAGTCCTGTTAAATCCAAAGCATCATTCTCACATGGAAAAAAGTTATCCCAGGTGAAAGCTGATGCTGAAATTCAGGGTGATATTAAAGTAACAACATCACAAGAAACAAAAGAAAACATTGAAAAATATGACATTTCTCAGAAAAATGTTTTAATGCAAAATGTGTCAAATAAACCAACAGTGATCACTAGAAAAGAAGCATCTTCAAAACAGGACTCAAAGTCAGTGTCAAAACCTGAAACTCGGCAGGGTCAGCCTCAAAAACTGTCTCAGCGAGAAAATGTGGTGTCAAGATTTGAAAAGGAACAGAACCTTGACAAGTCTAGTGCTCAAAGAAAACATACTAAAGCAGAAATTGCTCAATCCACACCAGATAAAATCCCTGCTCCAATATTACAGGAAACTTTAGAGTCCCAGTATATGGTCCCTACTAAAACCCTCCCTGAAGCTTGCTCAGAAAGTGTATTTAACTCTGAGTCATCACCAAAACCTGAAAATGTCCCAAATTTTGGAACATTATTGGAATCGGAATCTGCATTAGGATTTGATGTATCAAGAGAAGAAATGGTGCTCAGTGCAGAACCAGTACTAAATACAGATATGGTGTCCAAGGCTGATGTTACACAGCAAACTTTCAAGCAGGTACCAGTGACAGAGGAGTTGACATATGAGATGACAAAACATAAGCCTTCAGAATCTGAAAATGTGCCAAAGTCTCATACAACACCAGAACCAGAATCTGCTCTGAAATATAACCAACCAAGGGCAGAGATGGTGCTTGAAGCTGAACCAGTTTCCAAACCAGACATGCTGGCCAAGGCAGAGGTCAAACATAAAACTGATACTTATGAAGCTGAACAAGTTACAGAGGAAAAAGATACAGAGTTGACCCATCCGAAGAAACCTAATGAAGATAGCACTAAACCAGTGAAGAAAAGGTCATTCAAAATCAAACATGGAAAGACGTCCGTCCATAGAAGTAAAACAATCAGTGAAAAAGAGCTCAGATCAGCAAGTTCTCCAAAGAGAACAGATGACAAACCATCCAAAACTGATGTTCCTAACATTCTCACAAAGTCTCCAGAAGCCAATCTGGATGATCTTTTGATGGAGAATGTGGACTATCTGTCTGACATAGAGACAAATGACCCTTGGGGTGTCCATAAGGCAGACAAGAAATCAGAGCCCGGGCATCTCAGGGAAGGGCTACACGTGAGGGCTAAACAAGCCCAATCCAAACCCACCAAAGAACTCACCAGTAGTCAAGAAAGTTTAGAAAGGTATGATAATGTAAATTAAGTTATATATGAAATTCTTATAGTACACTGCATGTGTAAATATTTTATTTCTAATAGGTAAATTTAATTATTTTTAGTTTTCAATGATAAAGAATCCTTTACACCACTCACAAATCAGATGTCTTTATTCAGAAATTATGGTAAAAATGTTTGCGTATGATGCCTTGTATGAATTATTGAAACTATATGTACATGCAAATTTATTTACATTTTCCCCCTCCAAAAAAATAGAATATTTTGGAGGTAATCAGATTGACCTTTGATGTGCAGAAATGATGAATATTAGGCTTTGACTTGTTGAATTGTTGACTCCTGGTGAAAATTCTAAATTAGCTACGGAGCTCAATTTTCTTATTAGCATATACTGATCAATGAATGTTTACTGGATGCTAAGTTGTTTTGGCATTTGGATCAGATGAAAGAAAATATTTGGCTCAGTTTCAAATATTCTATATCATGCATTGATGATTAGATCAAATTCTGTTTGATGACAGTTCAGTGAAAGTTAAATGCATGTGTGAAATTTAAATGAATCATTTAGATTTTATGACCTTTTACACCACAACTCAATTCAGTTGTGACAGAAAACAGAAGTGTTCAAGAAATTGTATTTGGAAAGGGGGATAACTCAGTTTTGATGTATAAACCATATGGCTGACATTATTTAGCTGTTTATAATGATCACACACAATGAGGTTTCCATCACCAGTAAAAAGCTGCAAATCCTTTGGTCAATGTCATGTTCAGAGAGTAGGAAAATACACACACCAGAATTAGACAAGAAATTGCCAATCTGCCAAATTGTGAACAAAAACAATCAGCTGTTATAAACATGTTAAAGTCTTCTTAGCTCACAAGAGGATTTTTATTTCACAGATTTTTTTCCGATATATGTAAGTACTTTGAAAATGCTTTTGCATCATGCAAAATTTTGTTTTTAAGCATTTTTCTTTTTTTTTTTTCCACACATGATTTCTCCTCTGTACTTGTATATTTGTATTTTTTCTTTTCCTTTTATTATTTCTCTCCAAATTCCTTCATGTAATGCAAAAGTTTACACCCATGCATTACTTTGACAAAGATTTGCAGCCTTTTCTGGTAAATTAATCCTGGTTTCACCCCAAATACCTGTAGCTATGCTGTTATTAAATGTCACACATTGTTCAAAGTAATGAAATTTCAATTGATTTCCTATTATTTATGCACGAGATAATTAGGACAACATTGATTTGATACATGTATCATTTTTGTTTAGGAAAATAAAATCAGATAAACCCAGCCCTGCAAAAGCAGCCATACTAAATCAGATATCAATTGTGCCACAAGCAGAGGAGACTCAATTGAAAGACATTTCTACAAGTAAACCACCGCCTACCAGTTCAACACAGTTAAGTAACGTTTCTTCAACTGAACTTTTGGGTTTCAGCTCAACTTCAACTCAACTTTTCACTCATTCATCTGATCAACTTTCTGTTGTTGAGGCTGATCAACAGAATTCATCAAACATCACATCCACGTCATCTAAGGAAACAAGTCAGATTACAAGGGAAATAACTCAGCCACCAGGGGAAGTAACTCCACAAGTACCCATCAGTGAAATTCATTCTGAAGAGCAGATTGCAGATATTGAACAAAAAAAGAGAAGAAAAGACAAGTCAGCCATGAGGAAATCACAGCTGAATACAAAACCAGAAGATGAAGGTAGGATACAGTTTTAATAATTTAAAATAGCTATTTGAATTGAGTCGTTGATACTTGTCTAAATGGTAGAAATGTTGGTAATATAATATTTTTATAGACAATGTTGTTCAGGATCTTTACAAATATCTTTTAAAAAATCCTTGAAATTTGGAGTCAAACAAAATGAAGTGCAAAACATCCAATAGGAAAATGTACGTTGTGTTTAAGGTAGTCTGTTTATCAGGTTCAGTAGTAAAGTAATTGAAATGCTCACAAATTGTCAATTAAAAAAATAATGTATATTTACCCAATGGCATGGTATTTCTTCGGAGTTTATAACTATAGTTAATCATATTATATAGGTACATGTAAAATAATCAAATCTCAAATACATTTTCAGGAAATGTGAATAAAAGCACCAGCTATGCATTTTCTAATTAAAAATTGATCAACAAATGTATTTTAGGATTAAAAAAAACCATAGGTATCCAGGCATTCAGAGAAAATTGCATATTTTTATCTCCTCTGAGCCAAAGGCTCAAGTGAGCTTTTCTGATCAAAAAGTGTCCCTCTCTCTGTTCGTCTGTTTGTTGTGTGCTGTCTGTAAACTTTTCACATTCCCGACTTCTTCTCCAGAATCACTGGGCCAATTTCAACCAAACTTGCCACAAATCATCCCTGGGTAATGGGAATTTAAGTTTGTTCACATGAAGGGCCATGGCCTCTTTCAAGTGAAGATGATTAAGAATTGGTAAAAATTAAATGGCATCTTTTAAAAATCTATTTTTCATGAACCACTGGGCCAGAAAATATCAAACTTATGTTAAAGCTTCATTATATAGTAAAATTTCAAGGTTGTTCAAATCATGACCCCAGAGGGTAGGTTGGGGCCACTGTGGGCAATCTCAGTTTTACATAGGAATATATAGGAAATATCTTTAAAAATCTTCTCAAGAACAGCAAAGCCACATGATAGTCATATAAATATAGATGCATCCTCACATAGTGTAGATTCAAGTTTGTTCAAATCATGACCCAAGGGGGTTTGGTGGTGCCAAAATAGATCAAACTTTTATATAAGGATATATAAGAACAAATCATTAAAAATCTTTTAAAGCTATGATTAGTCAAAGAAATATTGAAGCATCCTCAGTTAGTGTAGATTTAAGTTTGTTCTAATTATGCCCCCTCCCCCCTAGGGGGATGGGAGGGGGGGGGGTAGGTTTGGATCACATATATATTTAAACATTTCAATACTGAACTGCAGATTTCTGCTCTTTTCCAGCCACAAAGTGCTCAAGTGAGCAATGTGGTCCATGGGCATCTTGTTTATACTTACCGGTATATGATTTTAATTCTTCTATTTACTTCAATTGTTATATAATATATATATTGTAAAAAGCTTGTTCTACCCTTCAAATTTCATATCAAGTTAATAAACATTGATATCTAAAGCTACATATAAGGAAATTTGATTTCTCTATAAATGCATTTATTTTTGTACTTTTGTGGGTACAAATGATAATACATATGATGTTACAATAAATAGGGTATGCCATAAAGAATACTTCTTATTTGCTAAAAAAAAAAAAAAAAAAAAAAAAAAAAAAAAAGGCATTCTCCTTAAAGTTTACTAATTTTGGAAAATCAGCGGATGTTTTTGTTGTCACCATTGCTCATAAGTATTGAAATGGCCTAATTCAATTCAGGGAGATCTAATGAAATTGAACATTAAACTTAGTTAAGTGTTTGACTAATGGACTTTAAATCAAATGTCTTTAACATTAAATGAGAATTTGGTACAGGTAAATTTACCTGTTTTCCTAATTATGAGATTGCTAATGACATGTTTCCTAAATTGCATCTCACCTCAGGTGAATTAAGTGCAGCCTTTGTATAGGAGGTTTTTGTTGCCTTTCTGCATTCTGTTGTCAAATCTGTTCTGAAGAAGAACTGTGAATGCAGGGTTATTGTATGTGCAAATGCAGGTAGGAATTTTAATTCATCTTTACCATGTAATGCGTTTTAGAATCTAATTTAACTTTAGGCTGATGTCTAAAATTTTCCATTATTTAACAATTATTTTGAAAAAAAACTTTAGTCAACCATGCTTAAGTTATGTTTTACAAAATGAGGATGCTAACTTCACTATCATTTTATCTTTACCTCTGTTAGATGAAGCCTAAAACTTATTTTGTTAAAATAGAGCTAACTTTATCTGTTTTTAGATCTTAAAAAACTATGTCAGGTAAAAAAAAAATTGAGAAAAATTCACAGACATCAAAGAGTACTTGTCCCACATAATTACCTACACTATGCTTGTATTCAAGGTAATTGAAGAAAATAAGACAAACTACCATATTGCAATTTTATCCCCAAAATAACTTTTTTGTGCACTAATACAGCTGAATATCAATTATTTTGACTTTTGCATGTAAAAACTTTAAATTTGTTGGTTTGAAAAATAAAGATTTTTGACCATATATAACTTATACATGACTTCCAGAGTATGACCTATTGCATAAAGCCTCAAAAATTGCTCACTGAATATCATAAATCTGTATACCACTAATATATTATAATGTTTTGATAGTCTTTGACCATTGTCAGGTATGTTAGATTGTGGCTCTTCCTCACAAGGACAGACCTTAAAACCCTCATCGAGTTTAAATTTTGAGAGTTTGCAGTTATGGACAAAGGGGTGTTTTCTTTCTTCAGACTGAATGTCAGAGGTCATAGGTAAAAAGGTTATAAGGTTTAAATAGCAGAGAAATTATCTTTAAAGCCTCATTTTAACAGAATACTTGGTTATATATGGATGAGATGAACTTGATCTTGAAGATTATAGATTTCTAAAGACTACTTATAGAAGATTGAATGAAACAGGAAAATGAATACATCACTGTGGATTTTCAAATCAGGTGAATGTTTTGATACCAAATAAGTATACACTTTACTGAATGTGCCAAGATGTGCATGAACTCAATTTTAATGAAAGTTTAGCATTGTTAATATTGGTCAAGTAAATAGTTTATGTTTTGTATTAAACATGTACAATTCATTCGTGCTGCATATAATGCCATACATAAATTGATTTTTCATTCAACTTGCAAATTAAGTATGTAAGTAAGACTACATGTGTCTTTGAAATGCATTTTGCAAGTTATTTGATTAAAATGTTTTAATTATTTCATTGTTCAGAAATATATGTGTTTAATAATTGATTTTAAGGGTTAAACGACATTTTTTTTTCTTCTTAGAGAATTCAGAATGAATGTTCAGTTTCATGTGGTTGATGCATGCAACTCTGAAGAAAAGTAATATATTTTCATGCAGCCAACACAAACATTATCTCATAGAAAAATGTGCATATATTTGATCAATTGAAAGCTTTAAAATAAAATTCTTAATTTCAAAACTTGCTAAGAAATAATTCAAGTTGGAGTTTCTGTAAAAGTTTGAATTACAATGGATTCAATTCTCTTTATACTCTTATGTAACACTGTTTTACCTATGTTAGTGGAAATTGAAGTGTAAAATTAGAGGCTGTAATTTAACATTTGAAAGTTTTCATTTGACAATTGGTACTTTAAAGACCTCAGTATTGTGGAAAATTTTTAATGAAATTGTACACTAGCTCAATTATCACTTTCTTAAGGGTACTAAACAGTATGTTGATCCTTAGAATTTTCAACTTTTTCTAATAACAATTTCCTATATTTTATTGGAATTTCCTATTCTTTGATACTCAACACTTTAAAAGTGATATTTTTTTAAACCAATCCTACCTTTAATAATTTCATTTGGAAATTATTTCCATATATTTTCAATCTTTGGAAAAATAAATATTTTTTTTTATAGAGTTTATATACCAGGTATATGTTACATGTGGAATCCCTTTATTATAAAATTGTGGACTCATAGAAAGACACCCCCCCCCCCCCTGCATGAATGGAAATAATATCTTCATGCAAGATGTAATATAAATTATAATTATTCTTAGACTGAGATATTTTTATGAGTAAAAAAATTAAGAATGGAAATGACTTCTGAATTATTTACAAATCAGTTCAATGTATTTTTTTTGTTTTTTGTTTTTTGTTTTTGTTTGTTTGTTTGTTTGATTTTTTTTTTTTTTTTTTTTTTTTTTTTTTTTTTTTTTTTTTTTTGAAAGAGAAATTTTTTAGTCTCATATGATGGAAAATGAAAGCAAAATCACTCATATTCAAACATTGTTATTACTAATTCAGAGCAATAGAGATTTTGTAATGAAAATGTCACTAGAAGAATATAATTCCTGATATATATAGAGTTCAGAAATCCTTAAAGGTGGGGAATATAAATATTTTTATTTAAGTTTTTATCAAGTGTGTTATGTAGGTAATGATTAATTTTATGTAAGCTTATACACCTGAGGAGAAACATTTTATTGTGGAACCCTCAAGGTCCATTGAGTTGCTTTTATCCTTGGATGAAAAACCAGAGGGTATAGGTACAAGATCTACCCGCTCAGCAGGGTACAGAACAATCCGGTACATCAGCTCCTCACCATATGAAATTAATGACAAGCAAATTTCATTCAGAATTTTGACAACTTAAGTGAATTTTGCATAATATTTCTCAGAAGTTTGTAAAATTCCTTTTTATGCCCCAGACTTGGTGAATGGAAGTGGATCCATGCATTTTATAGTCAAGATTTGGAAATCTGTATTTTATGGTCCAATACTGAATCTTAATCAAACAACCAAGTCTACAAAACTTTGGCAAACAGTTTGAGAAATTTAATCTTGGTGAGGTTAGAGCAAAGTTGGTCCTTCACGTTAGGGTGCTCTGTCATTGTCCTGTCAATGTGTACATTTGATGGTTTCATATATAGTTTATCAAAGGTGCCACCTTAAGATCTCTTGATGCCTACAAGTATGGAGGGGTCATTCATGAATGGCACAAAAGGTTTGTGCAGTTTTCTTCAAGTTCTTAAATGTTCAAGAAGGTACTCACTGTACATATAAAGAATACTGAAG